TGATCGGCACATCTCTATTATATTCTCTTTTTCAATGAATACTTATTAAAATTACATAATCCTGAACATCTTTTCACAGTAGTAATTTGGGCTTGTACAAATAATAACTGATTTGATTTGACTGCTAAAATAATAAATAATATTTAAGCACACAACTGTTATCTTGAAGTTCTGTTTATGTGGCCATCTAGAGTCCACAAAATAGGTTGGCCTTGAGTTTGACACATGTGATCCATAGCATATAGAGGTGCACCAATGACACTCTTCTGGCTCATTGCCGATAACGTAGCCTAACTTGCCAATTCCAATTATTGCTGCTGATTTTATTTTATTTTTTTTGTCTGAGATATCACTACATATAGAAAGAAAATTGCTGAATTGGCAACCGTGGGGTGACTATTGTTGGCTGCAAACACCTGTTAGTCAAACCTCTCACAGCAGAGCAAAAAAGGACAGAGGCTGATCTGTAGACCTTTGCTGAAATAGAAAAGATTGGTGGATAAGATTGGTTTCACATGCAAGTATCAGCTGATCACCGATCTCCCAAAGTGAAGGAAATTGAGGCTGATTTATTGGTGTACGCCCAATCATATCTACAGTTGGTATCTTTGTTGAAGCAGTGGTGTCTGTGTATTTTCCATAGATAGTCTAGACTCCATCCCATTACACAGAGCTTTCCAAAAGGCTGCTAACTTTTCCAGATCCTGCATGCTCCTGGTTTAAAGTCCAGAAGAAGAAAACAAGCAGCTCTGAGAAACACGGTTCCCCTTTCTGTTATCTACTTTAAAGACTTGCTCTTCTGCCTCAGTGAGCTCCAGACATGTTTGAACATGTAGAAAGTACAGCTTTGGTACTTCTGTTGACTTCGTTCTGTAACACCTCAACAGAGATGGGATTGAAGGTTCCTCAAATGAACTAGTTCTTGTGGAATCTGTTCCTTTTCAGGAGGCTGGCTACATTCTATATTCATTTTTTGTTTGCCTTGTTTGAGATTAGATTGTTTTCTGGCAAAGATAACGTTGCTGAAACATGTTCCACTGTCCCAACCTGGGCACCTCAGATGATGTGATAATGCTGTGCTCCTCCCCTTGTGCCTGTTCTCCATCTCAGTCAGAGGAGGCGCTTTTTTCTACATCTTTGTAAAACACAGCTAAAAAGTACAATTAATAAAGAAGAGCTCACAACTGCCACTCCGTTCTCATCTTTCAGAATTGTAACAATCTGATCCAGTTGGTTGGCCCAGTGCCTGTTGGGTAAAGTGAGTCATTTGGATCCTGAGTGGTCATCTCATTATCAATATTTTATTTGCAAAAGACTGTTTGAAGACAGAATTTGGTAGGTTCCAAAGATACTTGGTGAGTTGTTTGGACTTGAGTTGTCTGTAGGTATGGATGGTTAATCAAAATGACTGTTTTCAGACGCAGTGCCTCGATTATAGGTTTCCCTTTTACGGCGCAACAATATATAAAGCTGTTAATAGCTTTTGATGAGGGTCTTAGTGCTATCAGTCAACCACTGCTCAATGTCCTAATGACGGAGAAACGACTTACCATTTATCCACCATCATAAGTGGCTATGCTAACTTGCCTCAGCATTCATGGTAAGCTATGCTGTGGTGAACCAAGTGTAGTATAGCAGAGAGCAAGCAGGAGTGGGCAAGCATGAGAGTGATTGACAGTGCTAAAACCCTCCTCCTGACCCTGATTGGTTGTTTCTGACTGAGTGGTGTATTTCTACAGTTAGTACTGGGGGAAGGCAGGTTTTCTGGCGGAAACCCTGGTATGTATAGTTGCTAACTCAGTGATTCTGAAATTATCATAACCGTGAGCAGAAATGCAGAACTACTGATTGTTGTGACATGGTTCCAGTCCTCTGTCTCTGTTCTCCGCTGTCATTCTGTCAGCTGTTCTCTCGGTGCACAGTGTCCTTTTCTCTTGTGAAAACGCCAGGAATACTGCTGATGGATCCTGTTACCAAACCTGAAAATCTGGCTGCTATTCTCAGCTCCGTGCTCAGCTCCCAATCTTTATTTTTTTTGTACTGTGACAAACATTTTGTTCTTGACTTTTCTCTGGCAACATAGAGGCTCTGGTTTGAAGCAAGTGCAGCCAACGTCCCGCTCAGGCCCTCAGCATAAACGTTTGGCTAACGGGGCGTAAGCGCGTGCGCTTGTCCTCTTTCACACCGTGAGGACGAGGTTTCCTGTTTGGAGTGAGCATACGCAAACAGGCTGGTGCACATTAACTTGGCTCATTGTTTGTTGAGCCGCAAGCTGGAAACATTGCAGAGGAAGACACCTGAGAACGAACCAGGCTGCAGACGGGCTGAACTTTATCTGGTGAATTATTAGTGAGTTTGACTCCGTCTCAACTTCTCTCTACAGCTGATTGAGAAGAATGACTAATACATAAGCACATTTTGGTCAGTGTTATAAAAATCAGTTGTTTAATATCACATCTTCAGACTTATTAGGACGTTTTTGTTTAAAATGGAATATTATTGGATGAATTGGCATTGTTTGCATGTTGTATGCCTTAGTTGGGCAGTGATGAACAGAGGCATGAAGGACAGGCTGTGCACATTTTAACCTGTCAAGCTGGTTTGACTGAAGCCACGCTAACAGCCAGAGGCGTTGGCGGCTCCAACACAGCGCTGACTGAAGCAGAAATTATGCATCCACCTGGTTTGATGTTGTTGACTCTGTACTGGAGTGGACTACTTCCTGGAAAAAGTCTTCACTCCCCATTTTGAGGAAACGCCACAACGAAATCCAGTTGCTCATAACCTGCTTACTTTGCAAAAGCTCAATGCCAACAAGGACGTTGACTGCGAGTGTCATGGATTTTTTTGTTGTGCATTTACATGCTTAGGAAAATACAGCCACCCCTGGCTGCCAAGATGACTAGATAGTGGAGTTTTGATGATCAGTGAGCCTGTGATTTTTGATTTGTAGTAAGAGATTCATGCCGTGTGTGAGTCACCCAGGCTGGGTTTAAAAGTTGGTTCTCTGCCAAAGGGCAGGTCGATACCGGTGAAACCACCAACCTTGGATGTCGTCACATTGTAGCCCCTCCCACTGATTTTGCCCATAAAGAAACGGGAGTAACCTAAAAGCTCTTATCATGTTGTCTTCACTGGGACAGAAGACCCCAGAATTTTGTTGTTGTCAGCTGTTTGGTTTGTCCTTGTCCCTGTGATCTCGTTGTCCTCCACAAACAACCCCAAGCTAGTGCTGGCTCTTAAAGCTACAGGACACACCATTCAACAGCTCACATGGAAAATCATCGGTCTGATTTACTCTAGAGCATTTTGTGACATAAAAACTAGAAGCAGAAAGAAGTTGTTGAGGTGTACTGAGCTACATATAGGCTGTTCAACCTCTTAACATGGAGATTGATTCTCCCCCTCGCCTGTGGTGGCGCTGCACCAAGAATCACTGAAGGAAACAAGCAAACCTTTTTTTTTTTTTTTTTTAAATACGCTGCCTTGTATTCTGCTTCTTGCAATTTAGTTTGAATTTATACTATTGAATATTTGTCGTTGTCAGGTGTTTTACAAAATAAAACACAAAATAATAGATGATGACATATATAGCAGTTGATAATCTCAGGTTTTCATGCGAACAGCTGCAATAAGTTTGAAACTGATCCTGTTTATCTGTTTCAGGTATTAACGGCAGAGTTTTGGACACTGTAATGGAAAAACCTGGTAAGAAAACTTTTGAAATATTACTGCACTGTAAATGTTGAGGTGTGTTTTAAATTTTCTGTGACATTATAGATGAGAAAGCTTTAGAAAAGTAGTCAGGTTGAGTTGAGTCAGGCCAGCTTTTTGTTTCTCTCTCTGCTGGTAACACAGTCGCTCTAAGTAATGCATGCACTTCCGACATACTGTACCTTTTTAAAACTACTAAATTCTTGGCTTGTTTCAGACTTTAACAACAAATTCCAAACACAACATTCTGTCAATTGCATATTGGAGAGCCTTAAAGGGGCAGTATTATATATTTTCCAGGCATTTTAGAGCACAATCAAGTAATTATATTACCTTCAGTTGTTATAAAAATGCTGTATATATCAGATAGGACTTTAAAAACATTTACTTCATAATTTAGCGCCTTGACATTGGGCTCTGGCCTCTTTAAAAACTGTTTGAGTCCTTGTGGGTCTTTGTTATGCAACCTTTTAAGATGCATCATTGGTCTAGCACACCTGAGTAAAACGGCTAAATTACCTCCTCCTCAAGTCAGGCTTTTAAAATATCGGTGGTCGGCCAGAAAACTGAACTAAGTGTACCCCCTACTCTAGTGTGTTGAAGCAGAGGATTGGCTGATGCCAATTTTTATAATTAATGTCTGCGATTCAGAACTCTATGTTGTCATTTTTCATCGTATTTGCGGTCTATGCAGCTGACCCATATTGTGTTATTTTTGGACCCTCTTCTGTTGTAGATATAGGACATTGTACAGTCAGGGTGGAGCTACTGACGTCACACAACACTGCCCAATGATTGGGAGACACAAGAAGGGCACTGCTTGCGACAAGCACGACACATTCATCATGTTTGTCGTTGCACTTGTATGACTTGATGTCGTTGATACGCGTTTGAGTTTAATTCTGCCTGCGCAGTGAGAGTTCAACTAGTGGTCAAAATGCTTTCCTAAACGCTGTACCATAAAACAGTGTACAAAATTGCGCGGGGGGGGGATGAATCATTAGCGTGGACAATTGGGGTGTCCTGCCAAAAACTATCTCTACAGATCCAATGTTATAGTGCAAAGAGCAGAGGTACTAAGATTGGATAAATTGAAGAACGTGAGGTCAGGACCATTGCACATTAGAGGTTAAGAAGACAGTGACAGCAGTGTCTTATTTGTTACTGAAAGATTCTAGAGTGGAAAGAGGAATTTTAAGGTTTTGGCACAATGGCAGTAACAAAGACAAGGTGCTGAGCTGGAGATGTTAGGATTGTTAATAGGAGTAATGAAAAAAGAGATGTGTAGAACATTATAGTATATCAGGAGGAACATCTTGAGTTGAGTTGGTTAGCGATGACGCAAGAGAGTTAAGGGTGTAGAAGGGTTTGGACTTGTCCAAAAGTGTGATTCTAGATGTAAAAGGTAAAAATTGTTGTCTATGGAGATTCCAAAGCAGAGGGAAAGTAGGGGACCATCGTAGGGTCCTTTTCCACCAAAGCAGTTCCAATGTTTAACTAGGTTAGAGCTTACTAACCATGAGTTGTTGGTGTTTCTACCTCTGACCTTAAAACTGGTGATAACCCTCCATCAGAAAGGTTCTCTTTCATCAGGAACTAGAGGCAGTGTCCGCAGCCAATCAGTTTTAGCTTCTGGAAAGCTCTGGTTCTTGGGTTGCAAATTTCCTAAAATGAAAGTTGAAGTTACCTCTTCCTTTTTTTAGGTTGCTAGGGGAGCTTTGTCTCTGCTTGTTCGATGGTATTCGGTGTTATGAATAGTTGCTGTACCACCACCCTTAGGTAGTCCAGAGTAATCTGACTCATCATGTTTTTAGTTTTAAAATGTCATTAAGGTTTTCCACCGCATGCAGTGCAGACATAATGGAGTTTTGATGTTCATTAATCAGTTGACAATAAGCCACTCTGCATCTTCATGCATTGGAAGCTGTTCATTGCTGCTGCTGTGAGATTCCTTGCTGTTTTCAATGTGTCTGAGCAGAATACGGGATGTGAGCGATGGGGTGAAGGTTTAAGGGTTGACTGTGTGACGCATCATCCTTTTTATCACTGAAACCTCCTGATCGGTCCTCACCCTGAACACACACACCTACCTGTAGCAACACCGCTGGTTTCCCTTACAGTCACACAGCCTTGAATCTATTTCACTGTTGACCTCAATCATTTAACAAGCTCTAAGTATCTGTGCACACTCACATTACCTGAGGCTCACTGCCACAGTGCAGGAGAGGCAGCAGTGGTGCAACGTTTGACATGGCTATGCAGTCTCAACATATTTGTAAGTAAACCTGTTTCCTGAATGTCACATGTGGAATGTTCTTGGCTTGTACCTGTTGCAGTTGAAGAGTATACGATCTGAGTCAGTGTTGCTGTTTGGTTGTTCGTTGTGTTTTCTCCAGAAGCACCATGAGGAGGCGGGGCAGGGTGCCAAAAGCGCTTTAGTAATAAGAGGGCCTCACTGAGGACAGCTTAGGGAACTCATCTCTGCTTGCACGTGTGGCCAAGCAGTAAAAATAAACTGGACTTCTTCTTGAGCTCTGTGTGAAATGGGACCTTTCTGATCTAAACACAGTTGTTAGGCAGCTCACAGATCCAGGTTTGGGCTTTGTTGAGAGGAGCCTGTTGAAATGTCTGCCTGCTACTCCTCTTTAAATAGAGCAAACAGGTTTCCAGCCATGGAAACATAAATTACACAATAAAAGCCCATCATCTCTCTTTATTTACCCTGGTGTTATTGGACTGTTGTCTTGATTGCTGCCTTGTGATCATACATGAGTCATAGACATGCTGTTGTATTACAGTACCTTAAATGGCCTGTAGAGGGAGCAAGAGTATAACTTGATCCAGATGATAAATAGAACCATAAGAGAATGTACTGTACTGTTTTCTCTGTTGGTCTCACTTTTATTAGCTTCTATAAAAAACAGTCAGGTGTACTTACGATTTAATTTATCTTTTATTAATAAATGCTGCATTTCACAAAGTAATTATTTCACTGCTGTAATGTGTTGATATAATCTATTTTCTCTGATGGACATGGTCCTGGTTCAGTGATTGGGTAATTGCTGCCATTTGACACTATGGTACCAACGATTATTAGTTGTGACTATTAATTAATTCTTGATTAATTGGATAAATATAATTGGCACATTCAGCATATTTTTGATTTTAATACTTAAACATTTCTATACAATACAAGAAATGCATTAAAAGATGAAAAAAAAATCCTTTTAAAATCTGAGCATTCTATTGCCTAAAATGCCATAATGGCATTCCTTTAGTGAACACTTGATCTTTTGTAGCAAAAGATACATCTGTAGCTAAAAAAATACTTTCAACATGTGAAAGTGTTTATTGTTATTCGGTTTCACAAATGAAACAAACTGCTGTGATTTAACAGAACAAAGGTGTTAGAATGTGTTTCACACTCATTTTTTTAAAGAACTCAAACATTATGTGCAAAACTACAAAAGGTAAAATAATATATCTTGTTTAAAAGTCTTCTTTTATTCAGATTGTAATAACTGTGTCTTTGTTTTTAATTTAAATACAACCACTTAGGTCATGTTGTACAGTTTTCATATAAATATCCTGAAGCAGTCATGTTTTTATTCAAGATTATCTTGAGGATCCACTTCTTTCACTTCCGATTCAGAGACGCATATCTGAGGTTTAGTATCTGCTGATAGTGATCCGATACATAAAAACACCTGAATTGACTTAAAAGATTTATTTTAAAAAAAAAACATAGACATCAATGTACTAAATTAAAAATTAATGTGCTTACTCTCCACCAGTTCATCACACTTAAATCCACCAATAGCTGCACAAGCTTGGTCAAACAAAACAACTTTAATTTGTTCAGTCTGTGCAATTAGAAGCAGAACACCTGATGTAAAATAAATAATAAAGAAACTGAAACTGACTAAAACAATAGGTTGACTATCTTGTATAAATTAAACTGCCACAACCCTTCTTTTAAATGATTCAGAAAGTGCAATTAGGAATTCTAAATATAATGTAAAATTAATAATAAAACATGACATTACCCATAGCACAAAGCATAGAACTATAGACTGAATAGATCTGCCCTTATAGATCAGGTACATTGTCACCGATATCCGATCTAGAATTTTTTTTCCAATATCAGGACCGATATAGGTATTAATATTGCATCTCTAGTTATCACATAGTAGGAGTTTCATCTCATCTCATACTCATGTTGCTAACATAAGACCTCCAGTCATTATTTTACACTCGGTTTATAAGGACAATCCTCAGAGTCACAGTACACCTACATTGTGTCACTTCCTGTTCTCTGTCACTGCACTCCACCTCAGTCTGGCTCACCTTGTGCTTCTCAGATTACATCAGCCTGCAGGGTCCGACCCCATCCTTTATTGTCCCTCAGTGAGAGGGTGCTAACAGTAGAGAACATGTAGCATGGAAAAGTGGGGGAGGTCAATATGTTGCAAATCCCACAAGGCCTGGTGGTCAGACCAGTCGAACCTCAAAGCCTGCCTGCTTTGGACTTTGCCCCTGAGAAATCCACTTTTAGAAATGACTTCCATCTCTGTCGGTCTACCTTTCCTGTGTACCTTATTTATGAAGCCAGATCTCCATGAAGGGAGGGACTTAAATGCTGAGAGAGGGAGTGTGTTTGTGTTTTAAAGCAAGGAGACGAAGGAAGCAGGGAGGGAAGGAGAGAACAAGTAACTCAAGCTGAAGAAAGGGGGAGGTGCTGGACTCTAGAGCCAAGAGACACTAACCGCCTCGAGTGAGCAGTCAAGACAGTAGTTACAGTAGTTTGGTGTGCTTTGGAGAAGAGTGAGTTGGAGTAAGATTCTCCTCTCCTCCCGCGGGGCCTCAGGGAGGCAGTGCCTGGCCGGCCGGTGGGGACACAGGCCCTAACATGGGACAAAATGCTAGCAGCGAGACCGTGGCCCAGCAACCGGCCACACGCCAAGCTGGTAAGTCTGAGAAAGTGATGGGACGTAAATGCAACAGACCAGGAAACAAGCGGTCAAGTATTATTTTTTTTTATTCATCTTTGCAGATCTCAGAGCCATCAGGAGGTTAGAGACAAGCAGGTGTTTGTAATGCAGGGGGAGCGAGAGGGTGGCAGGTACAGGCAGGTGGAGAAGAATGCATGCAGATGGAATGTGGTAATTGTGAAATCCACAAACCACACAAACCTCTCTCTGTTTGCACACCACTCTTGGTCTTTTTAGAGCAGCAGTAAAGGACCTGCACTGTTCCACCATCCTCATACTTTTACCTCACCTGTTTTTATACATCTACACTTCTGCTCTAAATAAAGCGGATTCTATGATTTTTGTCGACTAGTAATATTCCACTTGTATATTTCCTGACTGTGTCGAAGTTGAAAAGGATTGTGAAACTTCACTGTTACTCTACAACATTGTCCTGGTTACATATTTGCTCACCAACTGCTGGTGTATTTTTGACTTTGGTTTGCTATTCTGCATATTTGGTTTCAGCATGTCATGTGATTGGCATGAGTCAGTCGGAGCCTGACCGTAGGCCAGCAGGGAGTTAGATAAGTGCCAGCTGGTCTGTGCACTGTTGATGTTTTATCGCATGTTGCGTTTAAATGGCTGAGTGTTGACAGGAGAAGGGGCATGTTCTATTGTTAACAGAGATGGTTTATGCAAGCAGATTATTAGAACTAACTCATCTGAGCTCAGATGAGTTGCAAAGATGCCATGTAGGGAACCATGGCAGCTTTCCTACATTCTTTGTTTTTGACACTGTGAGGTCGGTCTTTGGAGGAAAAAGGTATTTGTAGCTGTATGTGTTTTTTCGACATTAGCAGAACAAAGGCATAGGTTTGAGCACACTTGCAGTAGAAACGCAGCTTGTGTCATGATTATGGACAAACTTTGGACACCACTGTTCTACAGTCCTGGGTTCTCTCTTATGTTCTTTTTCTCTTCAGTCCAGCCCTCAAGTTTTCTAAAGGATTGAGATCTAGGGACTGGAGTGACCATGTTTTTCTATAGACTTATGTTTTCAATCATTATCCCATTAACATAATTGGGGACCACCCATTTTGAGTTTTCTGTTAGACTCCACTGGATTGTGGTAGTTTAAAGAGTTTAGGATGTTATGCTCTTTTGTTGTGGTGTGTGGAAGAGAAACAAGTATAATGGGACCTCCACCAATAGTAAGCATGGCAGCTTTCCTACGTCCTTTGTTGCACTAGTGATGCTTGTTTCTGACAGTAGTGTTGTCTTGTCTAATTAAAGTACATAGATCTAGCTAAAATCCCAAGAGAGTTAATCAAACTCCACACTTTTACATTTGGGATAGCAGGGCAGACAAACGGCCATCATTCTTGTTGTTAATATTGTCTAGTGGATGTTATGGTAACCTGATTTGGCCCAGGTAGTGAAAACTGCCCAGTGGATTGTTGGGGGTCAGTTACTGAACTTGGACTTAATATAAGCTGGGAAACTGCAAAGGAAGGTCAGCCGTATTGCTGCTAATCCCAAACAGCCAGGACACAAACTGTTTGTACCACTGCCATCTAGGAAACGGTACAGGTGCATAAAGACTACAAACTAAGGAAAAGCTTTTTCCCAAGAGCTGTGAAACATCTGTCCACCTTCCATCCTCTCTGCCTCCCTGCAGACACACTCACACCCATTTGCTAAACCCTAAAGACCAATTGAGACTTTAGCAGCAGATATTATATGTTTTATTGTTTTACTTATTTATCACTGAGGGTACCAGCAATTTTATGTTCTAAAAACATAATGAGAAATAATAATTTTTATGGCTTGATCAGTTGGCAAAAGTTGTAGTTGATCTGATTTCTGAGTCCACATGATCACAGTTTACAAATAGTCTACTATTGACAAAACAGTCACTGTTTCTTGATCTACCTGAGATCTATATATGTGTATGCTTCTTGTTGAAGTTTAGGGCCAAATATTGACTCAATCCTCAGTTTGTACAGTGTAGGCCAAGACTTCTCAAGCTGCCATAGCAGGGTGGAACAGATTCACTTAAATGTTTTAGTCCATCATGGATCTGCAGTCCTTCACTAGCCTTAGTTTCAGGACATCAAAAAAGTCACATTAAAGTAAAAAATGATTATTATGGATATTGAGTTTTTTTTATATATTTATTTGATATAGAAGTGGATGAAATGAAATTAAACTAATGAAAACTGAAATGATCTGTTTTCCCAAAGTGAATAAAAGAGGTAGAGTAAAAATCCTGACACCAGATGTAGAATGTTAACTCTCACTCAAATTTGTAGTAGGAATTACCACTCACTGACAGATGCTCTTTAAACTCATTTGTATTTTTTGATAGGTTTTTTGGGCAAATAAAATAAATGAATAAAATCTGCATACTTGTAATACACTGGACGAAATCCTGATCAAGAAATTGTGTTTGTTACTTTAAAAGTAACAAATACAGATTTGATTGTAGCTGCTCAACAGTTCAAGGTCATTTTGTTGTGGGATTTTACCCAACCGTGCAGTAACAAGCCCAGTAGGGATTTCCACTTTGGAGCTGTGACTCAGTACTCACTGCCTTGTTCTGTGTTAGACAGAGCTATTAAGCAGTGGTTTCACACCCACATGCTTGATTACGGTTCTAATTAAGCCTAAGACCGTCTTTAGAATTTTTTTTTTTTTTTTTTGTCATATTTACCGTAGCATTCATGTCCCTTCTTGCTTTAGCCTGCGTTTAATCTGGTTCTTTTCGTTGAATTATTTTTCTTAAGCTTATTTTAAAGAAATAATAATGGCAATTGAAAACATAGTAATAAGGGTAAGTTAGCAGCTTAAGTCTTGGCTAAATGTGAAATCTTGTTTTCTTGTTGCTACACAAACCTATGCTACATTGTTTTCTTTTAGACGACCGTTGGAGAGATTTCTTTTTTCTCCACACTAGTTTTATTCAAGGCCTCTTCTCTAACCATGGACTCCAGATTGAATTCTTGAACTACCATAGCTGTACTCACTCGGACAATTGTGTTATAAAAATGTTATTGTAGATACAATACTTCTCAGATTTTACCTTGTCATAATCACAACAGAAATAAATGTTTGTCTATTACATTCCAGTAAGGGGAAGGAGCTGTAAACATTTGACTGGCCATGACAAAACCAGGAACAAATCTCCCCAGGTTGTTTTGAGTTTTTGTACAGATTCTGAAAGTGTTGATTCTAAACTTTCTAATAATCTTAAACACATAAAAATGAAAAAAATGAAGATATTTCAAGAAAATTGTTCCTTTACCTGATTAACTACCCGGGTGTTTTGACAAAAGCTCATCATTTAATGGGGGGCAGACGAGCGAGCGAGCGAACGAACGGATGTAAGATGGGGGGTAGAGGGGAGGAAATAGACCAGGGTACAGACCAGCATAAGTGGGGGGGAGATGACCGGTTGACCGGTAGACCACGGGACGAAAGTAAGAATGGGGGAGGGAACAATACAGGATATTTACGGCACTTTCGTTCGTCACACTCAGAAACTCATCTACCAGCTACGTACCGCCACAATGCGCTCCGCCACCCGTTTGTTCAGACCGGGATGATATGAAATTTATTGTGTGGTTTCTCCGTAAAGCTACACTTACACAACAAGCATCAACTTGTAACATAACCACTATATTTGTTTTTTTTTCCTGGATAAATTCATTGAAGAGTAAATGTATCATCTGATTTGTATAACAGTTGCTGTTGTTTCATTGTAAAATTATTCCGAATTTCCACTTTTAAAACTGATTTTTGGGCAGGTCATGCTGATTTTTAAGTGTGGCTGAGATTAGTGTATAAAAAGGGGCGTGTGCGTCGGTGCGCGGCGGCACAATCAGAGAGGAAGACGCTCACCGTCAGCTCTGTGCAGCGGGAGACTTGGATTGACTGAAAGTTTAGAACAAGTGATAGAATCAAAGGAAAGAGATAAAACAGCAATCAAAGTTTGCCTCAGCGCTGCGGATCGTGCGCTTTAGGAGCTGGATTGGAGCTTGTGCCCAGGAAACCCCGCCAGGTGCAAGAGGACGCCAATTTACAGGAGGACGCTGACGGTGCGACAAGATGCCACCGGGGGGCGAAAGAAAGACATTCCTGGTGAGATCTGGACATGACTTTTCTTTTTGGGGATTTTGGTGGTACCACTCTTTTTTTCTCATTTTTTGGGGAGCGGGGTTCGACGCTTTGGATTTTTCGTTTGGATTGGGACTTTGGATTAACAGGAAAAAATTCTCCCAGGATATGGAACTCTTTTGTGGACAATATTCACATTAAAAAGGATCGGAAATATTTGGACACTTAACCATTTGGGTTTCTTTACTGACATGAACTGAGTGGATTAAATCTCACCTAAACTTATTTGAGGGATTTTGGGTTACTGATTTATTTATCAGGATAACTATTATTATTTTCTCAGTTTGTGGGTTTTGTAATAAATCATTGTTGCTAAAACTCAACAAAATGTCATATTGAGTGGTTGGCTATTTATTCTCAATTTAACTAGTGTAACATATTTATCTGATGCCTGTGACATATCCCCCTTGAGTGCATTTGTGAGTTCAGCTTTAAATAGAAGCTGAATTTTACAAACTACTCAGCCGCCCGCTGTGTTCAGTCTATCCGCTCACCTGTATAAATACTCCTGCAGTGCTCTTCCAGCCGTTCGCTTTCAACCAGCAGCTCCCAGGGGAGAAAGGCTGCCGTATTGCAGGCATTGCGCCATTCATTTTAAGGATGATTATTGGTCCCCCAAAAATCAATCAATAAAATCCCCACGGGCCGAACTTGAAAATTGGACGTTATGCCGCTAACACTTAGCTTTCGTCAACAACTCAGAGGCGGAATTCAGAGCTCCGCCCAACGCAAACAATGTTCCGACTGGAACACGGTGCACTAAATAATAAAACATAAATTAATGAAGCTTCGAGGCAGGTAAATTTTCCTCGAGGAATTTTAATAATCGAGGTACTCGAATCATTCGAGGAATCGTTTCAGTCCTAATAAATACAATACAATATGTTGGACAATGTTTTCCGTTTCGTGTGTACATTAGAGTTTAGACTGAGCTTAGAAAACGCAGCCATGCCCATCCTGAAATGGAGGGCATAAAGTCCTATAACTTTGAATTGTAGGTCCAAGCCCAAAGAAAGGCAGACATAAACAATTTTTTATTTTATGTGTTGCAGCTTCAGTGTGCAGTTAGTCACTGTACTGACTGAATACATTATGTAGTGCTATACAGGGTTTCCCCCAGAAAACTTGCTAAGCCCGGTGGTCGGGGTGCCAGAGTAGTCCATTGGGATTTTGTATTAAAAAAATTAAGAAACTGAATTCTAACACAAACTTTCTTATTTTAAAATCCCAGAAACTGCTGTTTAAAGCATGCAGTGGTGTCTTTACTTCAACTAGTATATTTTGCACAAACAAAGGTAAATCACTATTTTTACAGAAATTGCTTGGTCTTTTCACAGTTTTGCTGTGGCACGTCACATTTATTTTGTCTGCCACTACAATAAAAAAACACTTTTTTTTTTGTTTTTGTCTTGGTAGATGACAAGGTCGACTCGCAACAGAGCACACCAGGGCCTGAAGAAGGAAACTCTGGAGGAGGAGCACCCCCAGCAAAGCGCAAAACCAAATTTTCCATGGGAAAGTTCCTCAAGCCCTTTAGATTTAAGAAGAAGAAGCCAAGTGAGAAGTTCTCTGAAACATCTAAAGGTATGCTTGCTACAGTAGTTACTTGTGTCTTGTGTGTGGTAAATTAAACAATTTATTTGTATGGTATTTCTTCTTCAGAATTGGAAAGAAAGATTTCTGTCAGAAAATCTCGCAATGAGCTGATTGCTAGAGGAGTTTTAAAAGAGATCCCTGAAAATGGTAGGTCTACATGCAAGTGCTTTAGTCTCCAAAGTGATTCCAAGTTAATTGCAAAAAAAAATGTTATTTGCTCATATACTTTTTCCCCCTCTGCATGTGGTTAGGGCGCAACAATGAAATTGACCTGAAAGATCCACCAGTTAAAAATGGGCACCCTGTACCAATAGATGCCGATAGGGTGCCAGAAACGGGAAATCGACAGGCTGACATCAAGGCAAATCCCATTAGGCATCCTCAAGGAGAAAACCGTCGCAACAGAGCACCATTGGAGACATTCAGAGGACACGCAGAGGCGCCCAACCGGGCGCCTCTGGATGTGGACAAATATGCAAAGTTGCCCGTGGATGTAGACAGACAAAGCCGCATTCCCTTGGACTATGAAAGAAAAGGGTCTGACCCTACACAAGATGATAGATACCGTAAAGACAAGAAGAGGGATGGCCAAGATAGCCAAGACATTCAGGAGAGGAGGGATCGAGACAACAGGGAGAGGAGGGATCAAGACGACAAGGAGACAAAGGATCGGGACGACAAGGAGAGGAGGGATCTGGACACCAGGGAGAGGAGGGATCTGGACACCAGGGAGAGGAGGGATCAAGATGACAGGGAGAGGAGGGATCGTGATCGGGACGAGAAGCAGAGGAGGGATCGAGACGAGAAGGACCGGAGAGATCGTGATCGGGACGAGAGGGACAAGAGAGATCGTGATTTCGACGAGAAGGAGAGGAGGGACCGTGATCGGGACGAGAGGGGGAGGAGGGACCGCGATCGGGACGAGAGAAGGGATCGTGATCGGGACGAGAGGGAGAGGAAAGATCGGAATAGGGAGGACAGGGAAAAGAGAGATCGTGATGAAAGAGAATGGAGGGATAGGGAGCAGTATGAAAAGGAAAAGAGAGAACTTGATGACAGAGAAAGAAAAGACAACAAAGAGCGATGGCTTGAGCGTGAAAGGAAGGAGTATAGAGACGACAGAAAAGATGATAAAGTAAGAGAAGATAGGGACAGGAAATATGCTCAGGTAGAGAGAGGTGATACCAGGGACAAACGGGAAGACTGGATTAAGGAACAGGGAGATGAACGTGAGAAAATGGACAGAATATTGCCTGATGTCCGTCCAGTCCCTGACATGGACTTGCGACCTCCTATGCAGCAAATCTTCACAGATAATGACACTCTACCCAGACACAAACCAACAGTTGAGTTCCGTGACCGCTTAGGTAAGGAAATTGTCATAAGATTCAGAAAATTATCCTATTCCAAACTCTTCCATCTCTCTCTTTTTTAAGTTGCTAAAGGTTGCACAGTAGGGCTAATTATTAAGGCTCTTGAAATATTTGCAAAAGTCTTGAATTTAGCTTTCAAGAACCGAAGTGCAGATGTTTATTCTCCTCCACTTCACAACTATGTAGTTGTAATGTGACAAAGTGTACAAAAATAGCTCAAAAGGTCTGAGTACTTTTTACAATGCACTGTTGAATCAAAATAAATCAAGAAGATCCTGCTTTGATCTGTCGCCATGGGTGTACTTTAGATTACCTCTCCTCTAATGAATATCCTACAAGCCAGTCCCCTCATTTCAGCTTTTGCCTCAGTCTTGATTTGTGTGTCAACGCTTTTTGTGCTTCCTGTTTACATAGTTTCCCACAGCTCAGTGTTTGAAGCCTTGTCAATCTTTCCTTTAATGACTGTTTGTGTATGTTTGTGTCTGTCCACGCCTCTGCAGAATCTGTCGGTGTCCAATTGATCCCTGACCATTACCGGGAGCAAGATACCCAACAGCATCTACCCTTGCCCAAGCGAGCTTTGGTTCCCCCTAAATTTCCCACTGGTCATCCTTCCAAGTCTCCCAGTGTGACCCTGTCCTTCTCCTCCTCTTCCTCATCTTCTACCTCCTCCAGCTCTTCTGTTGAAGCTGCAATTGCCAAACCCCCGAGGACATACTCTCTCATACTAGATGACCCACCTCAACTGCCTCTTGCTGGTGCTGTGTCAGCAGACTCTGTCGCACCTCCCCCTGTTCCACCTCACACAAAGCAGCCCCCTGTCCCTCCCCATGTCCAGCAGCCTCCTGTCCCTCCCCATGTCCAGCAACCTCCTGTCCCTCCCCATGTCCAGCAACCTCCTGTCCCTCCCCATGTCCAACAACCTCCTGTCCCTCCCCATGTCCAACAACCTCCTGTCCCTCCCCATGTCCAGCAACCTCCTGTCTCTCCTCATGCTCAGCAGTCACCTGTTGTTTCACACCTCAAGCAACCTCCTATGCCTCCACCTAAACCCACCAACCGCAACAGCGCTGCTGCAGCGCTTGGTGAGTTTCTTTTCTGTCCTCTCTATAATGAGTTGCTTTGGTCTCTGTGTATTTGTGTCCTCTTTTGAAGTTGGTCAAACAGTCCAAATGTGATTACACCTTTATCATAAGCCATGGACTACCTGGCTTCTCTCTAACCTCATTGCAACTTGTGTGCAAAGTTAAGAAATTATGACTTTGTAGGTGAAAGGACATCTGTCAAAATTGTAAGAGAACATTTTCTGTACTACCAAACTGACCACATGGAAATATAATCTTGATAAGGGAAGTCTGACTGGATACTGAACTAAATATCTGTTTTCTTGATTTAGCCACCTGTTGAAATCTTGTATAGTGATGTTTTCTTGAATTCATCAGAGATCTGTACTCTGAGGAACCCCATGCTATCCAATCTGTCTACTGCACTGTTTTTGATTCTCTGGACTTTGTGCTCTGAGATCTAGAAACTGAAAGTACCAATGTGATAAAGCAAAACCCCATCATGCTTGTTGTCATTCTCAGCGTTCCCAAAGTTGTCCAAAATCATTTTGAGGGTTTTAGAACAGTTACAAAGCATGAGAGTCTTCATCTGTTTCCTACTTTTAAAACAGACACACCATAATACACTGTTAATATTAAAGATGACGTCTACCTGGTTCTTAGTCTGATTTAACTTCAAATAGTGAGAAAGAAATGTTGTATGTAAACTTCTAGTTTCAACTGTGTCTTTACAAAACTTGTATTTTTACAAGTTTTGTAAAAATACAAGTTTTGTATTTGTACAAAATGTTACTGAAGATTAATTTTGGTATGGCTGATGAAACTGTAGGTGGTGGAGGAAATATTCCTTGAAAGTAAACAAACAGTTTTGACAGCAGAAAACACCTAAATCGACTATTTTCAGTGTAATGTAAATATTCAGCATCCTGTGGTGGAATGTGCTCATGAGTAAATCCTGTTGCTCTTTAACCTGTTCAGTAAAACACACCTAATGTTTGTGGGAGAAACAGCATAATTCTTTTAGTAATTACTCAGCCCTCCTTTGGTTGCAGTCAGCATAAACTGTGGTTTCTGCTATCTGCAGACTGAGATAAATACTCAGGGGGAACCGTGTAGTGTTCTCCCTCACCGAGCTGCATTGGCTCCACCACATTCTTCAGAAGTTTCCTGTTTATTTCTTGAGCTCTTTCAGCATGGCCTTTCAGGAATTCTTTAAAATGAGTAAATATGTAAAAATAGATTTGGATGTAGAAACAAGTATACATGAAAAGGTTATATAAAATAATCAATTATAGAAAACTCGATAACATTAGTTTTAATTGATTTCTTTCACCTTTATTTGTCTTTTTGGAATGCCACTCTACTGCAAATCAGCTGTTTTAGGAAATTCTCACCTAAACAGGAAAGTCAACTTTACAGAGCGTCTTACACAAGCTTAAGCTAGATTTTAATTTTGATCATCAACTCTTCTCCTGCTTGAGAGGTTGTTCAGACCTCGTTAGAGGTGAATAGGTAAGATACAGCACAATAGAGTAAGTGCCCCAATACAGGTCAGAGATATAACTTCAGACTGATTGGTTCAGAGAAAGGCAAAAAATAATAATTCAATAAAATAAGTAGAAAATGGAAAAAAAAAATGATTGAGTAACTTGGAGAAAGTTAGACAGAGGGACAGATTTAAATGATAAGAATATTCTGATGAACCAAAATTATTCACATTAGGGCTCTTGTAAACAATTGCGTTAGTTATCAAGTATTCTATCAATTATTCTGACGATTAATCGAGTAATTGAATAAAAAAAAAAACTTATAAAATATTGGTAAATACAGCAGTATAACTATCATATCAAAATCGGCCCAATTTTTCATATTTGAGCATCTCTAGCAATTACTTTTCTGTAGTTTAGAAAATCAACCTGTAACGACAATAGCTCACCTTTTATGTTAACCTGGACAAAAATTATACAAAAATCTGAAGTTATATTAAATTTAATAATAAAGAGCCAGGCTTACAAAGACATTTGTAAACAAAATGTCTTTTGTTTACATAAGGGTGCATAAAATGGTGAAAGAAAAATCTGACAGCCATTTGTCTAACTACATCTCGCTGTCCGGGAGCTGCCAGAACATGGAAGAGTTATGAAGGCCAAAGCCTTCATAACTTTGGCCTTCATAAAGGCTCCCTCTGAGCATTCCGCGTAGAGGGAGCGCATTCTGCGGAATTTCCTCCTGCTGCCCATCATTCGGAGAGTTTTGCCGACTTCTGATTGATTTTATTTTGAGAAATGTTCCCTGACTCCAAAACTTTGGGTGAAGAGGTGCTTGTAATTCTAGTTTGTAGTGTGACAGCAGAGGGCAGATTCATCCTCCAGATCAACATCAGATATTTGATTGCGCACAAGCAGGTGATCAAGTCAGGTCCATGAATGTTTGATATTCAGGGTGGGCCGTAAGTTTCCATACATAGAAAAAAATAAACATTTTAGATTGGACAAATGTTTTTATTTTTGTGGGACTCTGCTGCACGTCTTGAACCACTTCATGGTTGATCTGCAACATTTCCAGTTTTCTGAAACTTGCAAATAAGTTTTGCCACAGTGTCGTGTGTGTTCTTGTTCCATGTTTTCTGTTAAAGTTTCGTGCAACCATGCGACTGCTTCCCGATCCAGCCATCCAATTCTTTGCTCTTTTGTCAAACGCATCTTCTTGGGCATCTGAAATATAAAAGAAATATACATTTTACATCCTCCTATGTATGGAAACTTAAGGCCCACCCTGTAGAACCCAATGAAAATTAAATGCAATTGAATAGGTCACTATCATTTTAAAAATGGATTATTATGGCGTTTTTTGACGCAGAAACAACAAAAACGTCTTTTGTAACATCTACACCTGCTGTTGCTGCTCTCATCCATCTGTCTGAGGCTACGTGCTCCAGCTTGTTTTACACCAATAGAGTTGTTCTGGAGGGTAGATGGAAACTGACTGCTATCTTATTTTTAATATTGTTTGCCCCAGCTTGCCCCAGCTGCTCGCTCTTGCAGCCCAGCCCATTGTTATTAGTTTGAAACTCACGAAGCCTCTGTTGCAGTGACACATTCCTCTGCCATTTGCTAGCAGCAGTTGCAATTTCACACGGTTACAAATAGCAAGTAAGCTGTGCTGGTTGAGACTGTAGCATTACTTTCTCTCTGAGTGATTCAATAAAAGACAACCGGATGCGTTTTGTTGCGTCATGAAGGTGTTCCACCTCATCCAAAGGCCCTGTTCAGATCTGAACTGGGTTGGAAGGATCAGGGGAGGATCTGTAATAAATCAGTGAGAGATAAAGCATAGTGGGTTGAGACCCACAGGGTGACAATAACAGCCTGTTGGAGTGTTACTGTCAGCTCGCCGTCTGCTCAACTTTAACTGTCTTGAATTAATGTATCTAAAATTAAGGCCTTAAAATGTCTTTAAAAAATTTTAATTACATTTTTTTTCCCTTTTCAAAACATAACTTTATTATGAACAAATATTACAAAGAAATGCCTTCAACATAAGTAATATCAGATTAGAATAAATTAAACCAAATAATACACAGGAATGATGGTATGCAAATAATACAAAATAAAAGTCATTGAGATTGTCTTATTCAAAGGTCTTAGACTTTACAAAACAAATAACATAAAAGGAAAGTTGGCCTTGACTACTTTAATCTCAGGTCTTATATTTCCCCTCATATGACCATAATCTTGTATATTCTTTGTAGATTTTTTTTGCAAGACTTTTCCATCAGGCAAAAGTTTGAGTCACCTGCAGACATCTTTGTTGCGATGTGGGACTTGCGTTAAAGTTATCACTAACTAGCTGCTAATTCACCCTTACTGGCTAGCTAGCTATGTTTTTTTTTTCTTTTCTTTCCCCCATCTATAGTGGGTTAATTGCAAATTTATTGCCGGTTGGCTGGATGGTGTTCATCTTCACCACTGGCTCAATTCTGTTACCAACCCATATGATATTAGTCTTCTGAGCCAGAAGGCTAATAACATTTTACTGACTCTACTGACTCAGTAGAGATAAAAAATTGTATAGAAGTGTAAAGCACAAAGCTGCCAAGCTTTCCTCTCCTGACATGACCAAAGTTCCCNTCTTTCAGCATGGCCTTTCAGGAATTCTTTAAAATGAGTAAATATGTAAAAATAGATTTGGATGTAGAAACAAGTATACATGAAAAGGTTATATAAAATAATCAATTATAGAAAACTCGATAACATTAGTTTTAATTGATTTCTTTCACCTTTATTTGTCTTTTTGGAATGCCACTCTACTGCAAATCAGCTGTTTTAGGAAATTCTCACCTAAACAGGAAAGTCAACTTTACAGAGCGTCTTACACAAGCTTAAGCTAGATTTTAATTTTGATCATCAACTCTTCTCCTGCTTGAGAGGTTGTTCAGACCTCGTTAGAGGTGAATAGGTAAGATACAGCACAATAGAGTAAGTGCCCCAATACAGGTCAGAGATATAACTTCAGACTGATTGGTTCAGAGAAAGGCAAAAAATAATAATTCAATAAAATAAGTAGAAAATGGAAAAAAAAAATGATTGAGTAACTTGGAGAAAGTTAGACAGAGGGACAGATTTAAATGATAAGAATATTCTGATGAACCAAAATTATTCACATTAGGGCTCTTGTAAACAATTGCGTTAGTTATCAAGTATTCTATCAATTATTCTGACGATTAATCGAGTAATTGAATAAAAAAAAAAACTTATAAAATATTGGTAAATACAGCAGTATAACTATCATATCAAAATCGGCCCAATTTTTCATATTTGAGCATCTCTAGCAATTACTTTTCTGTAGTTTAGAAAATCAACCTGTAACGACAATAGCTCACCTTTTATGTTAACCTGGACAAAAATTATACAAAAATCTGAAGTTATATTAAATTTAATAATAAAGAGCCAGGCTTACAAAGACATTTGTAAACAAAATGTCTTTTGTTTACATAAGGGTGCATAAAATGGTGAAAGAAAAATCTGACAGCCATTTGTCTAACTACATCTCGCTGTCCGGGAGCTGCCAGAACATGGAAGAGTTATGA